GATATGTGTAGTACTTCATAATTGCATTTTATTTTGATAAGAAAACTAATTTCATAAAGTTTATCTCAATAAGCTTATGGTGTGGGTAGACGAATGCTTATCAAGCTTAGGACCGAATGAAACTGGAGACCTAAATTAGAAGTTATACATCTGAATAACTGTTTTTGTCAGTCATATTTCACGTATCCTTCTATTTTATAAAGCGCTAACTTTGTGTGTCGGTTTGTGTATCTGTATGTGTGTGTGTATGTATGTGTGTCCGTCCGCAAAATGAAGTGAGTGAGAAGGAAGCTCATGGGATAAACAAACCGCTAACAAATCGGGTAGCTTACAGGATTTGAGATATCAATGTTTTGTAGCAGGATAGTTGTGATAACACTCTTAGGGCTATATAAACACCTGCTTAGCACACTTCCGTTCATTCCACATGGTGCTGCAGTGGCAGCTGGAGGGCAGTGGAGAGAGGAAGGGATGAGGAAGGGAAGCGAAAAATCTACCGTCATATCATGATTGTGTCCCTTCTACTGTTTGAAACACCATTGTGTTGCATACGCGTCACTTCCACGAGGTGTTGGTGTCACAGGAGGAAGGGACCATAGCGGAGGATAGAAAGCTTGCGCAGGAAAGGAAGGTCCCGGCGGTTGACGGGGGACTAATCTGGTATAAATATGTTTGAGTCAGTGAGCGAGGCATTTAGTTATTTCTCAAAATCCACGCATTGAAACACAAAGATCCAATCTGATAATGCAAAGCTGGAAGAAAACTGCAAAAAACGGGCTAACCAGTAGAGAACCGCTAAGATGAGCGACGTAACGGGCGCCGCCTCTATTAAGAATCGACAGAAAAACGAAATCCTGATCCAAGAGGTGTTTAAAAGGAGCGCCATCATCGCAGATTGGCTAACCAGCTAGCTGTTCTATCTCGGTAGACATTTGCTTTCTACGTTAGCCATTAGGCTTTTGAAAGATCCACATTTGCGTGTTTCAGAAATGGTCAGGACAGCGGTGACTATCGGTGCTGCATGCGGTACGTTCTGCGTGATCGCTTGCCTTTGGGCAGCAATCGTCATCACCAACGACATCAACGAGATGTACGACGATGTGATGGGAGAATTGGGATCCCTTCAGGGTAAGCGACCAGTTCCGTATCTCTTTCCGTCCACCATTCATTCCTTATTCCCCTTCAGAACGTTAGCTGATGACACATGGGATGACATGATGATTATGCGCAACGGTGGCACCACGGCTGAGCAGTACGTCCGTGGAATCTTCGGTCGTCAGAAGAGGAATGCTAACCAGTGCAGTAAGTTACCCTCACAGTAACCACTTGTGGGAGTCTCCCTACCGTTACCTTTCAGGTTGTGGCCTCCCAGCTCAGAACTGCCCTCCTGGACCACCTGGCCCTCCTGGTATGCCCGGCGAGCCAGGAGAGACTGGACCTGACGGCAAGAGCGGACCAACTGGATTGCCTGGACTCAACATCGTCACACCTAATGACTATCCTAAAGGATGCATCAAGTGCCCAGCAGGACCACCTGGACCCGATGGACTCCCTGGACAGGAAGGATTCCAAGGAATGCCTGGCAAGCCCGGAGATCTTGGATCGCCTGGCAAGGACGGAGAGCCAGGACAAGCAAGGAGACCAGGGAGACCAGGGACAACCAGGAAACGAGGGACAACCAGGAATGCCTGGAGCACCCGGAAGAGACTGCCTCACTGGAAAGGGTAGGTTTTCCTCATTCTCGAGAAGAGATCCATTGAAAATTGATATAGCTAAATAAGAATGTTGCAGGAATGCCCGGTATGCCAGGACGACCAGGTCTTCCTGGACTTCGTGGAACACCTGGTAACGACGGTCCTCAAGGAGAGCCAGGAACTGACGGAATCTCTGGACCTCAGGGTCAACCTGGAAAAGATGGATTCAACGGAATGGATGGCACTCCAGGACAAGCCGGTCCCCAAGGAAACGTTGGCGGAGATGCCGAGTACTGCCCTTGCCCCGACAGGAAGAGAAGACTCTGAACATTTTAGATATCCAGAGTTACCAGATAAAATATTTTTGCATAGAGTAGTAAATGCTTTTATCCATCGATGTCATAAGCATGACTGAAACAAGTATTGATTGAACTATTGAAACTAGCCATCCAAAAAGAAAATATCGCGAACTACTAGGTATTAGTTTTTGGACTAATTCGATCAGCTGGAACTGTTTCTGCTACTGTAGTTGTCTAAACAATCTCCTGATGGCACCTACCAGTGATGAAGTGAATATTTTCCTATTCAAGCATTGTACTCCTAAGGAATGTGCCCTGCCTAAAGGAATCTTGCGCGGAAAATTCTTGCACTCTTTCCTAACATGAATATGTCAGTTGTGATCACTGGAAATAGCACACAAAGTTTCACGCATGAAGATTCGGTTTCTGAAGAGAAACAAACGTACAAAAACTACACGTTATGGACCATCGAAGGACCAGGAGGTATAGCCTATAATGTATGAATATATACGAAGTTCGGAAGCTGAATCAAAAGAGCATTGGCTGGCATTGAATTGCTCTTGCGGAAGATGCTCGAAATCTACGTTGGATTGTTCGCGCTTTAAATCCACAGGTAGGGATTAGGTGCCAAAGATTGTCTAAAGTAAGAAATGGGGGCTTCAA